CAACGTTGGAAGGTGTTCGTAGCATCGTGTGGCGCCGGCATTAGGCTATTTAGGTGTATATTAGGTTAGGTTATTTATTATAAGATGAAAAACTTAGGGTAATTTGTCTGGGTATACTTTTTTGAAATGATCAACTAGTATTCTTGAATTCGTCAATTTATTTGAACGAATTAACTTTTTCCTAGTTAAGGATGGTATTTGCTCAGGTTATTTCATTCCATAAATTTGGTCTAATCTTCTAGAAAAATTTGGGGAAGTCCGAAATAAATCCAAAATACTTTAAAATTAAAGCACGTCGGTACCTGAATGACTTCATCCGTTTTTCGGTATCTTTTTCAAGTTTATGTTTATAGTCAACAATAACAACAATCAACGTCTTATATTTTTTACTCGTTCTCTGCGGATTTACAGTGAAATCACAATAGCTTCACAAGATGCGTTTGGGTTGATAAATAATAAATGAATAAAGTTGATATGTAAATTTACCTGTGCTCTTGGGAGTCCTCCATGTAACCATAAATACCCTGTGGAGGAACCCTAGGTGGTCCCAAAGGTTGCTGGAGGGAAATGCACTGACCAGAATCGTACCTAAAAACATGATTGTCATTTCTAAGAAAGCCATTTTTGGTCCAACAGCAGCTAAATGGTTTTGAACATTGATTTTAAATTGGCGCCATTTCTTTTACGGGATTACTGGTTCTTTTTTAGGTGACCTCGGAAAAATTGTATAGCATTTTTTTGAAAACGTTTGCTTTTGAAAATGATATTTCCACTTAGATAGCTAAACATAACATAACGCAATATTACAAATAAAATGTTGCAAAATCTGCTTGAGTCAACATTTCCATTTGGAAAAATGTTATTCTACAATGTTTGTTCGTTGCCAAAATTTAAAAAAATCTATTTGTGCTGGGTTTCAATTGTGTGCTTCAAAAGTTAGTCGGTATAACAATCTTAAAATGTATTAACTTGATTTTATGTGGATATAAGTACAAATTCCTCAAATGTTGCATATAATTGGTACACCGAACTAATGTGATATTTGCCTCATATACCGTCTGCAGATTCTAATATTCGCATTTATATTATGACGAAATTGAATTGAAAAAATTTGATACTTAAAACTTTCACTTTTTTTAATGAATAAGTAGTTTAAAGTCCATAAAAAATAATTTATATTTACATCATTTAAACGATAATTTTTGTCTAAATTTTGTCTGTTAGCTTCCATGATTTCTGCAACAAGCAGCATCTACCTAAAGGCACTACGAAAAACGTACCTAATTTTCAGGTGTAAATTAAAAAATGTGATGTCACGTTTACTTTTTACAACTTTCTTAGTTTTAGGGGATCATAATCACGCTCTAGAAATTCTGTGCTCCCTAAATACTTCTTGCTGATTTCGCATGAGGAATGGTGATAACTTTCATAAAGCAGCAATACACCGTTTGTTATTTTCACAGTCTTATGTAGTTAGTTGTTAAAACATTACCTCTCGAATCCACTATTGCTGCCAGGATCATAAGGGCGGTGACTTGCTGCATTAACCAGGGAAGAATCATAGGAGCGATTTACTAAATCATTTGAATAGGTAACCACAGGCCGAGCAATTGTCGTGATGGGTTCATTCATCTCTTGATAGCTCCTCTCTCTATGGTACATTTCTTCGGATATCGGCGAATGGTGGTATGGAGATCTGAAATGAAAAATATAGATAACTGAAAATTGTACATTTTGTAGGCTATAGGGTGCATTACTAAGCCGTGAAAATCATATCTCAAAATTTGCATAATAGAAATATTCATTTTGTTTGCAATTTTTTGTTATTTGGAAAATGTAATGGGTATTTAACATTTTTGATAAGAATATCCCTCCACTTCCTCTTGTTTCTTATTTTTTTCTTCAAATTGCATATTGAACTCAAAAACAATTTACTGTTACAATAAAGGCTTTCCCCATAGAAATAAAAAAAACGTCTTTTTGAAGATCGATAAAGTCGGTTTTTGAAAACCGATAAGCCTCCAAAACGTCGGTGAAACATTGCATGTCAGAGATCCCCCTTAGAGCCGCTCCACAACTACTGAATCATTAAAAACTAAATAAAAACGCACAGCCACAGCTAAACATTTGAGTAAAAACTTTGTATGTGCGGATTGACGATAATGAATACGGGTAATAGGTTAAAATGTGGGAAATGCTGTGCCCTCCAAATGGCACCAATATCTTAAAAAACTCCATATTTCCAAAACTGTTCGACTATCCTATCGATGGGAAAGGCTATTTTGTTAGGGTTTGCCAAACGCCACATACACTTATTGATAAATTTCAGGACATTGTTTCTTGCTGGGTCATAACATAAAATACGTCAAATGTGCAGCAATAAGAAAGATGCCAGTTTTATTCATCAAACATCCACGTTTTAAGAACAAATTGTGTAATAATTTATCATTTCAATAACAATTTTTGGAGCAGAGTATTGAATATAATATTTGTACTCAGCTTAAAAACGGCCGCAAAATTGGAATGTTTTTCAGTCTGAAGTACATCAATAAATTCCAATGAATAAATACCAATGGGCCGGTGATCGTTTGTTTATTTGGTGCATACCTGTGAGACATTTGGTGTTCCATATTATACCCCGGATGAGAAGCGGGATGTGGACTCAGATGATGTATTTGGTGGGGTCCCCTCGAATTCATTGCCTCCATGCTGGATATTGAAGATGAATTTGAATCTTGATTCATATATGGCTCGTAGGCTGATCTCAGATTCGCTGGTGGCGATCGACAAGATGATGCGCTTGACATTTCCGTTTTTGGAATTATTAGTTCACTTTGGTCTTGGCCACCTAATTAAGAAGACCAATTTAGGTTGCATTTTCTTACTGCTTTAAACTAAGGCCATACCTGGAATACTACAACTAGTGCTTGTAGGTGGTAACTCACTTTTTGGTACTTTCAGGACGTCGGGCTTGATTAGATTCGCTTTGCCATAGTATTGACTGTACGTTGAACCTGGTTTATCATCGACGTTAGATGATTGAGGCAAAGAGGTAGAAGGATAGGGAGCTGCAGTATAAGTTGGTTTGATATCTTCGGTTGGGGTCGGAGATTTCTTAACTCCATCATAAGACGATGACGATGAAGTAAAATCACTTTGACAAGCTAGAATATATTTCCTGTCTTAGAAAAAAATATTTACATATTTTACTTCTGCTTGCAAGCTACAATAAAGATACTCTGCCGATAGTAAGCAAAGTTCTAAAGCAAAATGAAGGGCGGTTAACTAAAATTATTCCTAATTACTCAAAAGTGCTATGAACTATTAGTTTGTGACAGACTCAACAAAAGTTGATAGGCAATGAATGAAACTTCAAGACTGTTCCTAGTGGCAGGCACTTACCAAAAACGGACATTGCGAGTCCTGGACTTTTAAGCCTAGAGTTCAAGTTGGACTGATATTTGTGCTCTCTAGCTGCCTGTTTATTGGCTGCTGCCACAGGACATCCAGAAAGACTTCGGTGAGAGTTCCGGTTCGAACTCACGTGCCCTCTTCCATTACAACGTGGAGTTGGGCATTTTAGGATCGTTTCATGCATGGCCAGGACTAGATTTGCGCAAAAGAATCATTGTTTTGGCTCAGGAAATCAAGCACAAACGAAAAATGGCAATAACTATTAAATGTATGAGATCATTTTCATATTTTATAGTCGATATAAAATGACTGCAAATTTGCGTTTTACTTGTAGCTCTTTATGCTGGGAGTTAGGTACTCATTAAACAAGTACATTGGACACAACCAAATACATATTTAAAGTAGAAGGTTTGTTTATAAAGTGTCGATGAAAAATGAGGAGAAACATACGACGAGTTTGCATTTTGCATCAAAAGACGCGTTAAGAAAGAACACGTA